GAGCAGGGAGCCTGATGCGGGACTCGATCCAGGGACTCCAGGATCATGACCTGAGCCGAAGGCAATCGCTTAACCAACTGAGCCACCCAGGCGCCCTTCTTTCTTTTTTTTTTTAAAGATTTTATTTATTTATTTGAGTGAGAGGGAGAAGCAGACCCCCTGCTGAGCAGAGAGCCCGATGTGGGACTCGATCCCAGGACTCTGGGATCATGACCTGAGCCGAAGGCAGATGCTTAACCAACTGAGCCACCCAGGCGCCTGACCATTGGCTATATTTCCATGCTCTACCTTTCACCCTGTGACTTATTTATTCCATAACTAGAAGCCTGTACCTCCCATTCCCCTTCACCCATTTTACCCATCCTCCCTCTGGCAACCACTAGTTTGTTCTCTGTATTTACAGGTTTATTTTTGCTTTATTTCTTTTTTAGATTCCACATATAAGTGAAACCATACAGAATTTGTCTTTCTCTAATTTATTTTACTTAGCATAATATCCTCTAGGTCCATCTCTATTGTCAAAATGACAAGATCTCATTCTTTTTATGACTGAGTAATATTTCATTGTATGTATATACCACAACTTCTTTATCCATTCATCTGTCAATGGAACTTAGGTTGCTTCTTGGTTATTGTAAATAATACTGCAATAAACAAGGGGTGCATAGATCTTTTCTAATTAGTGTTTTCTAAAATATAACTTTACATAATTACACTTAAAAATCATATGTACTAAATTTTTGTGTTTATCACTCTATTGTTTGGACACTTGTGTTTTTTCAGTTTTTCATTTTATATATAACTTTCATGATAGTTATTCCTGTCCCCTTAAAAAATTCTTTTTCCCAGTATCCTGGTTATATACCTTTCATTTTCCTTCTTTTCTAGGCTAAGTTCATCTTAAAACTTCTTTCAGTTCTCATTTCTCAATTTTAATGTAATAAATCAAGTCAAGTCAACAAAGATTTGTTGACTGGGTATGTCCCTTCCCTACTTAAAAATATTTACACTGTGAAACAGTCAATAATCTCTTAAGTCAAGATCCAAACTTTTCCAGATTTAATATAAAAATTTCCAGTTAGTAAATACACACTAGACGAGATCCTACACATAAGCCAATTCCAGCCACCACCATGTTTATGGAACTCTCTCATCACTGGCTACTTCAAAAATGGTGCTGTGGCTAAAATTGAATAGATTACATTTTAAATTAGTCAAGAAATATAACACCCCAAACCACCTGGAGTTGGGTAAAGCCTTCACTATTCTTATACATCTAAAATCTCAACCTTCTTAAAAATTCTTGCCATCATCTTTTTTGCATGTTTATTAGGATGCCACACAAAAAGTATAGTGGGTGGCGAGTACAACTTTTATTCATCTGTTGAAATGATGTCCTGTTTGCTCTTGAACTACCAGTGTGGCTTTCAAACTCATACACAGGGATTTCCTTCCTCATTTCCACTCTACTCCTGCCCAATAAACAAACTCCTTGTTTATTCTCGACCTTGCTGCCTGGTGCTCTGCTTGAGCCTCCCACTTCCTGATCAGCTGCTACCACCACCAAGGACTAATCACATGGCTCTGTTTCCTTGCTAGGATTTCTGTCCTTATTCTACTTTGGGGCCTGGTTCCTTTTGTGGTTAAATTCTGTTCTTCATTGCCCCAGTGTACATCTTCCCAAGTAGATTCCTGTACAGGGTTTTTCATGCCAGCATTATGTATAGTGAATAATTGAAAACATCTCAATGCCAAATATAGGGGAAGATTTTTTAAAAATTATTGTATGAGGGGTGCCTGGGTGGCTCAGTTTGTTAAGCATCTGCCTTTGGCTCAGGTCATGGTCTCGGGGTCCTGGGATCATCAGGCAGTCTGCTTCTCCCTCACCCTCTTCCCCTCCCCCAACTTGCACTCTCTCTCTCTCAAATAAAATCTTAAAAAAAATAAAAAATAATAAAAAATTATTATATGATAC